GAGACCAGGGTGGAGATTGGGGATCGCTGACGTCCAAAATCCACGGAAAACAGTGTCGGCGTCGAAGCCAGGGCTCTTGAAGAGTTGATCAAGGGGCGTTTTTGGAAGCAGCCACAGTTCCGGGGCTGTGAAATCGGCTCCTGGAGCGCATGGACAGAGACGCGGGACCACATTTCAAAGGCCGATTTTTCAAAGAAAATTCTTTCCTTCAAAGGACTTATCAAGCCTAAGGCTTGTACCGAAATTTGACAACAAACCCCACGCACAATCACACTCCTTCCGTTGATGCAATTATTCGAACCTACCAGCCCTGTAGAGTAAACGTTGTGGTAGAAGGCCTAATCTGCGAGATGCGGTTGGGAGGCCATCTGGAGGTGAATTCTAGCACAAGAAATGAAGGATGCCAAGTCAGGCACACACCTTCACCCTGAGATGATACCTGGTCGTTTTGCAGTTTCACCATCCGATGCCACGAAGATGCAGGCGACACCATGACCAGCAGGTGTCGAGACTCGTGTGCTGAGATTTGAGTCTGGTTTCAAACCGGAGTAGGCAGTCTCATCATTTTGGGCATGCAGCGATGTTCCTCGTGTGGTCGTTCGTTTAGACCCGACTCAAGCTCTTGCCAACTTGCCAACACTGACGATTCGAAGTGAAAGGTGAACTCATCTCTGGAAAGCCAGTTCTAGTAGCCCATCGTCCACGAACACGACCGCGAGTTGTAGTTCGTGGAGTTCCAATTTCAAAGCCCTTCCATGACGCACCAGTGAACGCGTAAACGTGGATGGGGCAGCACGCGTTCGTTGCAAACCACCCAATAGTAATTGAGTTAAAAAAGTTCAGTTTTTTTGTGTGGGAAACTAGGCTCCTCGATAGTGCATTAATCCGTGCGTCAATTTGATTGGTGGAAGTGAAGCCAATGGACACGCCTGCACATTTCGACTAAAATCAGGGGATCCGTGAAAATTGGCAAAGCCGGCGGTTTACCTCAGCACATATGAAACGGCTGCCGCGGCGGGCAAGGTTGCCCTGAGGTGGTAGCCGGCGGCAGATAACATCGGTTAGTCACGCGGACAGACGCGCTTGCTGGTGACTTGCGCGATGCGTGCACGGCGCATGCTCGTTGCATGCATGCGAAGCCGTAAGGCGGGCTGGGAGACTGCTGGGCCTCGGGGCTGATTGCTACGGCCAAATGGCTCTCAATAAGCGCGCCCGTGGCAGATTGAGTAGCACCTTCGGGACAGTAAACTAGGACGAGTCGATGAAAATTTGAAGAGGAAAAAAGAGGCGAGTTTCAAGGTGGCGTGGACGTCTGCCTGTCGCAACAGCTCGAGGAAATATAGGCTTTGTCTTTCGGGTTGGTTACTTCAAAGCAGCAAGTGTACCGCGCCTCCAGGAGCTAGGAAATGCGCACGCAATCCCTCGATTTGTCACGCTGTTCCTGCAAAACAACGCCACAAGAGGCGAAACACACCCTCATCCTCCTCCACCTCCGCCTCGCCCCCAGATGTAGAGATAAAGACCCGACACTTGAAAAGGACCGGCATGAAAGGGGGCGAGTGTGTGTGTGTGCGTGTGGCTGAGCCCTGACGGACAGCATAAGCGCTGCAACTGCTTCCCACGCGGACTCGGTGATTGCTTTGTACTGCCTTTTTAAAAAAACCTGAACACGATAGCTTATCGTGGGAACGGTACGGGGTTTATTCGCGGTCGACCAATGAGACTCCTTCGCTCCCCAAGGTCATGGGGTGCTTTGAAACTGGGCAAAAACCAACTCGAGTAATGGACGGATGAAGTCTTGTGTGAGTGGCCGACTTCAGAGGAGTGCGAGGTGCCAATGACGCACGACGCGGGGCGATGACTGTGCGTGGGGCAAGCACGGACAGGTAAAGCGTAGGCTTGTCTCCCAGTTTGAAAAAGTCACTCATGTGGAGAGGGGCGCACACACACGCACGCGTCATTGGATTAATGACTGGAATGGCGATAAGGACGATTCCTCCCGGTAGAGCGGGCATTACAGCATCCGAGACCAACTGCCGCAACAACTGTCGCGGAAAGTTAGGCCCTAGCGAACCTGCCCAAAGCTAACTGAGGCAGCAGATTAAACACGAGTCGTCTAGACGAGTGCCTTCAGAACCCACGAGAAATAGGCAAGCCGAATTGAACCGATGCCTTCTATGTAGCTGACATTTGATTGGTCGACTACTAAGCCAACTCTCATGGTCAGAATTTGAGACCAGGAACGGCATCAGATGAAACTGGTTCGAATGAATTGGCTGAGGCGATTGGTGCCTAAAACGCTCGCTCCTAAATCGGTTTTAGCACATTTGAAGCAAACCCAAATTGAGATTTTCGTTTGCACTCAACTCAAAGTCTTGTCAAATTGCCAAAACAAACAAAGTCGCCCTTAAAAGTCTACTATTATCGCAAGGTTAGTTCTAGTGGCCCATCGTCCACAAAAACGACTGCGTGTTGGGGATTCGTAGAATTCGAACGTCAATTTAAACAACAACCAAACCAAGAGAATGCGTAACCGTGCATGAGACAGCACGTGCTTGACGCTAACCGCCCAATTGCAGCTGAGTTGTCAAAAATGTCTTTTTTGAACATTCGAACAACCCGCAAGTGCATTAAATCGTGCTCCAAGGTGATTGGTGGAAACGGGGAGCCAATGCGGAAAGGATCTGAACGCCAACACGCCCACACAAACAGGCATCGTGAAAAATCACAACAATACGCGTGATGGGTTGTGCCAGGTTGGGTTTTTGAATGAAAATCACCTCTCCACTCGCCTGACAGACAGTGTGCACGATTAGGCAAATCCATAGAGGCGTGTTATTGGCAGTCCTGACCACACCACCTCACGCCACCTACTCCTCGTCTAATGCTGTGTGTGTGTGTGTGTGTGTGTGTGTGTGTGTGTGTGCAATGACGGTGTGTTGCCCACTTTGAGGGGTGGGGGGCGGCCACAGTAGGGGGAAACAAGCCAACGCCGTCGCCGTTAGCGCGGCACACGTGTTAAAATCCACTGGCCTAAATAGGGGATAGCGCGTAGATGTTGGTTGGTACAGCAGAGGCGGCAGTGGCAGCAGCAGGAGAAGGGGAGACGGCACAATAAAACAGGCAGGCAGTGGGGAATGAGTCAACGTGTCCACATGTTTACGAAACCGCGCAGTGCACCATTAACCTTAGAAAAGTAGCCTCAATGGAGAACAAGTGCCGGAAAGGCAGTTATTTCGGCGTTCTTGGCTCAACTGCATGGCGTCTGATTCAACGAATCCACGGTAGACATCGACTTCTGTGTAATTTAGTCTGCTGGTGTAAGTTTGGGGACAGTTGTGGCAAGGAGCAACGAAAGGAAAACCATCGTTTCCAACATCCTGAACACCTTCATATCTCTGAGATCACGGAATATGCTGATGATCACAAGAAGATATGTGGAATTTAAGGTGCTGATTGGTTAACTGACCACACGAATCAAAATTGGTTCATGAAAGTGCCTTCCGGAGACCCTTCACTCAATGTGGACGAGCCTTGAGCTGGTCGTTCCACTGAAGTTGATGATGCCCGGGTCAACACCACAACTGAATCGAATCGTGGCTATGAAACTGTGAGATAGATTACTGAGAGGTTGTGTGATACATAACAACTAGGGATCACTTCAAATTGATTGGACTCGTTGTGGGGCAAAGGTGTTTGTTGTCAACAGCCAATGAAACTGGAATCAGAAACAGCCAATGAAACTTGAATCGGGGGCGGCCAATGAAATCCGGTCGGAATTGGCGACGTGCCAAAACATCGAGTTTTACCAGTACTGGGAAGCGCCTTACACTTAATTGCCAATTCGTGGAATATTACTGCAAGTTACGGTTTGAAATGAACCAACTGCGACTTGTCCAGGCGGTCCGTGATGGTTGTATTGAAGACGGAAGGTACGGTTTGAAATGAACCAACTGCGACTTGTCCGGGCGGTCCGTGATGGTTGTGTTGAAGACGGAAGGTACGGTTTGAAATGAACCAACTGCGACTTGTCCAGGCGGTCCGTGATGGTTGCATCGAAGACGATTGACGCTTTTTGCGTGTTGACGGGAGTACGTCGATGAAGAGCTTCCGAGGCCCTTTCTGTGGATCCCCAATTGAACCCAAAACGTTCGACACATGAATGTTACGCAGTACAATTACCAATCTTCTTCTCGTTCCCAATAGCCAATGAATCTTGAGTTGGAAGCGACCAATTAAATTGCGTTACGATTTATCTTGAAGCTTGTTGATAAAGCCCAGAACTTTCATGGAAGGTGGTGAAATGTCTTCGGACAAAATTGGAATTCCACAATAGTGAAATTTTGCTTCTTGCATATTATCGACAGGCTAACTCCATCAAGGTGGAGCCAGAATCGTGGAAGTGAGAGAAAGGGCTGTTCTTTGTAGTCGTCTCTTGTTACACTGGTCCGCCGAAAGATTTCCCAACAATTCCCTTGTTCTGCGCCTGATTTCCGTGTCTTGGCTACATCTCTAATTTGCTGTCACGCAACTGCCCAAGTGGTAGTGCCGCTCTGTGATTATCTAACCCCTATCTAATTAGCCGGCAAGCCCTACTTGGTGATTTTCTCCATGTCACATATATAATTAGTCTGCCTAATTCCCCCGTTTTGGCAGGCTGCCAAGTGTTTTCGTACAAGCCTGCTCACTCCTCGTCTGCCCCCCTCCCTTTTAAGTCACACCCCCTGCGCCACAACATGAGATTCAGATAGACCGCGAGTTGTCGACTCCTAATCACCACGGCCAACTTACACGTCCGCTCCCATTGGCTGATAAAAGCCAATCAGAAGTCGGATTCCGATATCTGGTCGGGGGGGGGCAGTTTCCGGTCTCCTTTCGAATTTCATGCCAATTTAGTATTCTAGTTAAGTGTTTGACCTTGTTTAAGCTAGTTCTGGTTATGTCACTCCTCGTCGCCTCAGAGCGCCTGTCGCTCCCACGCGCTAATCGACGCGTTTGGCGCGACGCCAATTCACGACGATGGGAATTGGCCCAAATGACCCCCATTAAACTGTCGCCGGTCTACTGCACGTGCATGCAGTCTGTCTGCGCTCATCACATCTAAAAATACACTCATTTCTGGCTATTTTCCCGTGAGACGGCTAGAGTGCCCGACTATTGGCTGAGTCGAGCCAGGTTGAGGACGAGCGAGACCAGGGTGGAGATTGGGGATCGCTGACGTCCAAAATCCACGGAAAACAGTGTCGGCGTCGAAGCCAGGGCTCTTGA